AGGTGGAGGTTGCAGTGAGCTGAGATCGCGCCACTGCACTCCAGCCTGGCGACAAAGCGAGACTGTCTCAAAATAATAATACGATGTTTACACAGACATAAAGATTAATAAAAGAATAAAACAATTTTTAAAACATAAATGGCATCATTATAGGTGGCATTTGGGAGCTGACTGTTTTTACTCAGGAATATGCTTTTAAGATATATACATGTTCATGCACATAGATTTGGTTCAGATTCATTATTTTAAAATGCTGAAAATAATATGTGAATATCCCACATGTTGTTAATTCATTTCTTGATATTACATATGATATTATATTTGGACCTTATTCTATGTCTTAATATTGCAAGCAATGTTGCCATAAATATCCATATATATTCTTCTGTATCTGGGCAAGTGTTTTCCTAGATTAAATATCTAGAAGTAGGCTGGGCATGGTGCCTCACGCCTGTAATCCCAACACTGGGAGGCAGAGGTGGGCAGATCATGAGGTTAAGAGATCACACACACCTGTAATCCCAGATACTCATGAGGCTGAGGCAGAACCACTTGAACCGGGAGGTGGAGACTGCAGTGAGCCAAGATCACACCACTGCACTCCAGCCTGGGTGACAAAGTGAGGCTCCATCCTCCCCACCCCCCAAAAAAAAGTTGGGTACAGTGGCTCATGCCTGTAATCCCAGCACTTTGGGAGGCTGAGGCGGGTGGATGACCTGAGGTTGGGAGTTCAAGACCAGCCTGACCAATATGGAGAAACCCTGTCTCTACTAAAAATACAAAATTAGCCAGGCATGGTGTTGCATGCCTGTAATCCCAGCTCCTCAGGAGGCTGAGGCAGGAGACTGGCTTGAACCCGGGAGGTGGAGGTTGCAGTTAGCCCAGATCATGCCACTATATTCCAGCCTGGGCAACAAGAGAGAAACTCTGTCTCAAAAAAAAAAAAATTATTTCTCACTCATACTTTATGTGTAACACAAGTCATAGGGCAGAGGAGGGGTCCCCTTATTGTTGTTTCTCAGGGATCCAGGCTAATTGAGGCTGTACACCTCCATGGCCAGCTGCTTCCAGGACCACTAAGGCAGGAAGAAGGGGCGAGATGAATTATGCACTGACTCCAGGAGTTTCCACCCTAAAGCAACACATGTTCTGTTCACTGGTACTTCAAAGCAAGTGTCATGGCTCAGCCTGTCTTTGAAGAGGTAGAGGAGTGGGATTCTTCCAGACACCAGAGGACAGTTGGACCGTGGAAATGCTTCCAATGCTCCACCATTACCTGTGGTGTTTGCTCTAAGTTTCTGGCAGATAACACCTTATCAAGTTAAGAAGTACATTCGTGGGTTTGTTTAGTTTGTTAAGCAAGTTAAGAGGTTGTCTTTATCGTGAACACATACTGACCTTTATCAAATGACTTCATGCCATCTGTTTGATGGGCAAATGTTGCTTGTTTCTCCCTTAGTTGTTAAGTCATTTATACATATTGTTTCTCCTAGCACGTTGCCTTCCACTGCCCTCTCTAACCACTTTACTTGGTTAATTCCTTCTCATTCTTTAGCATTTATTCATTCATTCAGCAAATATTTATTGAATAATCCTATGTGCCAGGTGCTCTTCTAGGCACTTGGGAGATGGTCATGAACAAAGCAAACAAACAAAAAAACCCTTGCCCGTATGGATCTTACATGGGATAGAAAATGAAATAAACATAAAAACAGGCCGGGCATGGTGGCTCATGCCTGTAATTCTAGCACTATGAGAGGCCAAGGCAGGAGGACTGCTTGAGCCCAGGAGTTCAAGACCAGCCTGGGCAACATACTGAGACTCTCGTCTCTACAAAAAATAAAAAATTAGCCAACATGGTGGCACTTGCCCATACTCCCAGCTACTCAGGAGGTCTCACAAGAAAGTCACATCAGGGCAATGCCTCAAAACAGGGGCAGGGGCCAGGCACAGTAGCTCACACCTGTAATCCCAGAACTTTGGGATGCTGAGGCAAGCGGATCGCTTGAGGTCAGGAGTTCAAGACCAGCCTGGCCAAGGTAAAACCCCAACTCTACTAAAAATACAAGAAGTAGCTGGGCATGGTGGCATGCACCTATGATCCCAGCTACTTGGGAGCCTGAAGCAGGAGAATTGCTTGAACCCGGGAAGTGGAGGTTGCAGTGAGCAAATATCACAGCATTGCACTCCAGCCTGGGCAATAGAGCGAAACTCTGTGTTGAAAAAAGAACAAACCAAAAAACCCAGGGACAGGGGTAACTAGACAGATACCTGGTGCAGACGATTTCAGACAGAAGCTAGCTGCCAGGCAGAGGCCCTGGAGAGAGGGCTTCCTGGTGTGTGCCAGGAGTTGTAGCTCAGTGGGTGAGGCTGGTGGAAGATGAAGAATGGAGGGGGCAAGGGGCTGTGTGAGAAAATAAGTGAAGTCAGGATGAGGCCGGGCATAGTGGCTCACGCCTGTAATCCCAGCACTTTGGGAGGCCGAGGCTGGTGGATCACAAGGTCAAGAGATCAAGACCATCCCGGCCAACATAGCGAAACCCCATCTCTAAAAAAATAAAATTAAAAAAAAATTTTTTTTTAAGTCAGGATGGTTCCAAAATTTCTGGCCTGAGCAACAACAGGATGGGCAGATCATGAGGATGGGGTTGGGAAAGGCTCCAGGTGGAAAAGGTTTCAGGGCAGGATCAAGAGTTCAGGCATTGTTTTTTTTTTTTTTCTTTTTTTATTGTAATAATTGTTTTAATTGAGATATAATTCACATACCATAAAATTCACCTTTTTAAAATATACAATTTAGTATATTATTCACTAGGTTTTACCACTAATTCTAGAATATTTGATGACCCCAATAAAAAACCCCATACACATTGTCCCCTCCCTGACATGAACTTTCTGTCTCTGGAAACTTCATATAAATGGAAGTATATACAATATGTGTCCTTTGTGACTGGCTTCTTTCGCTTAGTGTAATGTTTTCAAGGTTCATCTATGTTGTATCATGTATCAGCAGTTTATTCTTTTTTATGGCTGAATAATATTCCATTATTTGGATACATCACATTTTGTGTATTCATCCGGTGATGGACATTGGGTTGTTGCCACTTTTTGTCTATTATGAATAATGCTGCTATCAACATTCATTTGCAAGTTTTGATGTGAACATATGTGTTCAATACTCTTAAGCATATACCTAGAAGTAGATTGCTGGGTTATAAGGTAACTCTATGTTTAACTTTTTGAGGAACTGCCAAATTGCTTTCCAAAGCAGCTGACCCATTTTACATTCTCATCAGCAATATGTGAATTTCTCCAGATCCTTGCCAACATTTGTCGTTGTTTTTTTTTTATTGTGGCCATCCTAGGGGTGAGAAGTGGTGTCTCCTTGTGATTTTTAATTTGTATTCCTCTAATGACTAATGAGGTTGAACGTCTTCTCATGTGCTTATGGCGTGCATTCGCATATCTTCTTTGGAGAAATGTCTATTCAAATTTCTTGCCCATTTTTTAACTGGGTTGTCTTTTTGTTGTTGAATTGTAAGAGTCCTTTATATATTCTAGAAATTAGACCCTTATCAGATATGATTTCCAAGTATTTTCTCCCATTCTGTAGGATGTGTTTCAAAAGTTTACTTTTGGGCCAGGTGTTGTGGCTCATGTTTGTAATCTCAACACTGTGGGAGGCTAAAGTGAGTGGATCACCTGAGTTCAGGAGTTGGAGATCAGCCTGGGCAATATGGTGAAACCTCATCTCTACTAAAAAACAAAACAAACAAAAAGAAAATTAGCCATATTGCCAACCTAGGGTGGTAGGTAGAGGAAGAAGTGAGGCCAAGAGTGTATTTTGTTTTGTTTTGTCGTTTTTTTGTTTTGTTTTTGAGAGGGGAGAAACAGCCTTATGTTTGTATCAGATGGGAATGATGCCATGGGAGAGAGGGGAGAATTGCTGGAGTGGTGTCGCTGAGTAGGTGATGGCGGGACTGATGTTCACATGGAAGGGTGGCCTTCGATGGGGCACAGACAGTCACCTGTGGAAAAAGGTTGGAGGCAGGATGTGGGCACAGCCCTACCCGCCGGCCAGGAGCAGGCCTGTGGGAGTCTGTGTGCCACTGTTGTCAAGGGAAGGCTGAGAGTGAGGATGGGGGACCGTTGGGAGTGAGAGGAAGAAAGTATGAAAGGGTGTCTAGGGTAGAGCAAGTACAGTGGGGGACAGAGTGAGGCCGGTCAGCACTGAGCCTGCAGGTGAGGTCTGTGTCACAGGGTCTTAACCCATCACAGGCTAGAGTGCAGTGGCACAATCTCAGCTCACTGCAGCCTCAACCTTCTAAGCTCAATCCATCCTCCTACCTCAGCCTCCTGAGTAACTGGGACCACAGGCACAGGCCACCATGCCTGGCTAATTTTGTAATTTTTATAGAGATTGGCTCTACCTATGTTGCCCAGGCTGGTGTCGAACTCCTTGGGTTCAAGTGATCATCCCGCCTCAGCCTTCCATTGTGCAGAGATGCCAGACGTGAGCCACTGCACCCGGCCTATGTCTTCAATTTTGAGTTAGGTTCTGACATCAAAAGCCTCCTATTGCTGGGATCTTTATTCTCTGTAGCCTTCACTGGACTGTAAGCCCCATGCGGGTGTGAGCAGTGCTGTCTAGTCCGCTGCTACATCTCAACACCCAGCTCCTCGTGCATGGGAGACTCTCAATACGTAGCACTGAATCGCTGGATAAATGAATGAAGCAATGAATGAGAAAAGTCCTAGAAGTGGCACATGGCCTAGATTTCTGAAGCAGCCCCTTCCGCAACCCTGGGTGATTCTAGACCTGCTCTCCCCACCCCACCCTGCACCCCACCCTACCCTCCTCTCCCTAAGCCGACCCCTGCCCCCTTCAGCCCCCGCAGCGCAGACCCTGTGGCTTTAAGGCCGGCAGGAACTGAGCCGGGCGGTGATTGGTGGTTTATTCTAAGGATGAAGGATGAGCTCATCCGCAGCCAATGGCCGCGCTGCACCGGCTGGCCCCGCATCTGCCGGACGCCAGAAAGTAGCCGCCCGCGGCGCGCTCCGGCGTGAAGGGCCGGTGGCGGCAGGGGGAGGCCTGGCCTGCGGACCCAGCTCCCAGCTTGGGCAGGTACTGTGTGTGTCCGACCCCTTCTCCACCCTCCCAAGCGAGGGGCCCCCTCAGCCGTTCCCCGCGGGATCATGCACCTTGCGGCCGGGGCCCCGCGGGCTGCACGTGCCGCTTTCTGTGTCCAGGCGCAGCCAGGCAGCTCTGCCCGGCAGGACCCGGCCGGACGGGGTGGCCCCTGAAGCCAGCACAACCCTCCTGGGTGACCCCCAGAGCAAGGCCTCAGAGCCTCAAGTCCCCCGCTGGGCTTGGCCGAGAGGGGAGGGTGCGGCCTCCCTCCGCCTCCTGGCCGCGTCCTGGCTTTCTGCCACTGGCTGAGGCTGTGGGCTTCCCCTCCCGCCCCACTGCCCATCCTGCTGTCTCCTCCCTCTCTCCAAATGACCTGGGGTTGGAAGTTCCAGGCCCTGCCCATTCCCAAAGGGACCTGGGAGAGCAAAAGCCAGGCAGCTCTGCAGGCTCCTCTCTAAGCCCCTTCCCTAACCGCAGCCACAGCTCTCATCCCTTTGGCTGCCTGGGTCACTCATTGCTCAGGGAGGAGCTGCTGTCAGGTCCTTGGAGACCACATGGTCTTCTCAAAGATAAAGCCAGGAGGACAGAGCGATCCTCCCTGGGGCTGGGTCACCCTGCGCTCTTCCAGCCCCATCCAATGTGGCACCAAGTCTGCCACGCAGTCATTCCATCTGCCGACAGATCTCCTGGCCCAGTGCTGTGCTTAGCTCTCTGCTGGCTCCAGGAGAGGTCCTCACTTGCTGACCACACTGACCTCAGAACCAAGGGAACAAAACACAGCAGGGGCAATCCAACCCATCCACAGAGAAGTGCTGAACCCCAAAGGGTAAATGAGATTCCCACAGAAGGAGTGGGGGAGGGGGAGGGACGAACAGGCAGGGTGGAGGGAACAGCATGAGGAAGAGCATTTGAGCCTGGGGTGTGTGGCCTCCATGTGCTGAATGCATACTAGACATCAGCCTTGCTCCATGGAGACCCCGTGAAGGTGGCTATGGATCACAACTATTCTCAGCTCTCTCCAGAGCTCAACATAGTACTAGATGCTCCAGAAATGTTTGCTGAACTGCATTAGAATGGAAAGGAAAACAGCTTCAGGCCCACATGGTGGCTCACACCTGTAATCTCAGCACTTTGGGAGGCCAAGGCGGGTGGATCACTTGAGGTCAGGAGTTCAAGACCAGCCTGGTCAACATGCTGAAACACCATTCTACTAAAAATACAAAAAAATAGCTAGACGTGGTAGGCGAGTGGCCTGTAATTCCAGCTACTGTAATTACAACATCCAGTTGGATGCTGAGGCAGGAGAATTGCTTGAATCCAGGAGGCAGAGGTCACAGTAAGCTGAGATTGCACCACTGTACTCCAGCCTGGGTGACAGAGAAAGACTCTGTCTCAAATAAAAAAAAAAAAAAAAAAGAAAAGATCCCTAAGCTGGCTATGATTCTACCATTATCAGCACTTAGGAAGAACCTGGAGCCATGAAAAGACTTTACCCACTTTAGCTCTGACCCCTCCAGTCTTTGGGGGTGAACATTAGTCTCCCTGATATTCAGTGGGGGAGACTGGGATGTGGATGGGGGTGTCCTCCCAGCTAGGTCCTCCCTAACGCATTTGCCCATTCCAGGTCCCAGCTGCAGGGCAGCCATGAGCCTGGTGGCCTGCGAGTGCCTGCCCAGCCCTGGCCTGGAGCCTGAGCCTTGCTCACGAGCACGGTCCCAGGCTCGCGTGTACCTGGAGCAGATTCGCAACAGGGTGGCTCTGGGGGCGCCTGACATGACAAAGCGTGACTATCTGGTGGATGCAGCCACGCAGATCCGGCTGGCTCTGGAGCGAGACGTTAGTGAGGACTATGAGGCGGCCTTCAACCACTATCAGAATGGTGTGGACGTGCTGCTCCGTGGCATACACGGTGAGGACCGGGGCTGGGTGGGGCTGGGCAGGGGGGAGGGGCCAGGGCAGGGCTCCTCCTGTCACCATCTCTCCTGTCCTCTGCCCATCCGTACGGGGTGAGCAGGGCACTATGCTGGCCTGCAGAGCCTCCATGAAGGACAATGATAGCTGGCACTTATTAAGCAGTTCCTGCGTGCCAGGCACCATTCTAAGGGCTTTATGTAGATTCATTCATTTGAGCTTCACAGTAATAGAAATTACTATATATGTTCTTGTATGTCATTCCTAGTACATGGGAACCATTTGTTTTATTACCATGTTCCAGATGAGGAAGCTGAGGCATGGGGCAGTTAAATAGCTTGCTCAAGGCTCCACAGCTATGAAATGGCAGAGCTGGTGTTTGACTTCACAGGCTATGTACTTGGCCCACCACACTTGACTGTCTGTGGAGCTAGGGTGGGCTCCTGCCCTCTGGGAGTTTGCATTCTAGTGAGGGGAGACTGATGAATTGATTTGGACAATTATAGTCTCAGGAAGAAGATTAGGGGGAAAGTGAAGGGAGGAAAGAGGGAAACTGAGTTCAGGCTGGGCCTGCCTAGAGCATTTTCCAGAGGTTAGATCTCTAATCTGAGCACTGGAGGTTGGTAGGTGCGTTACTAGGTGAAGGACTGGCTGGAGACAGCGAGAACAGCCGAGGCGTGGAGGTGAGAGGGAAGTTCCCTTCAGGGCAGCATGAGGAACTTCCACGCCGGGGGGGAGAGGCTGGTGCTGAGGCCAGTTTGAGACGCCTGTGGGCCCTGGTGGCCAAGCTGCGGGTGGGCATTGGGCCTTCCCTGCCATCCAACTAAGGAGACCCCTCAAGCTTGGGCTTCCAGTCTGTCCAGTCAATTCCTTTATCCTCCAATCCTGGTCCCCACCCTAGCCTTCTTCACACTGGGCATCAGAGATGGAAGAAGCAATGCTCTCTGGAATCTTCTGTCCCCTCCTCTGAAAAAATGGTTGGGGAAATCCCCACCCTGTCCCTTCCCAGGGTGTGACAGCTGCCAGCAAGGCAGAGGGTGCCAACAGCAAAGTGCTGTCTGCTGAGGAGTGGTCCTGGTTCCCAACCTCCTCCTGCCAGCTCCTGTCCTCCTCCTTCCTGGCTGGTTCCCCACCCCAGAGGAGGGGCTCACGAAGTCATCTGGGGGCAGAATCTGCCGAACAAGCCTTAGAAACAGGAGCTCTCTCCTGGGGAGGGCAGAGGGCAGGCAATGGAGCTAGGACTCCAGCCCTCTGAGGCCAGGGCTGGGGACCCTGGTGACCCTCGTCTCCCACAGTTGACCCCAACAAGGAACGACGTGAGGCTGTGAAGCTGAAAATTACCAAGTACCTGCGGCGGGCAGAGGAGATCTTCAACTGCCACCTGCAGCGGCCACTGGGCAGTGGAGCCAGCCCCAGCATGGTGAGGAGACCCCCTGTCCAAAGGCCTGAGCAGGAGGCGGGCTCTGAGGGGAGACTGCAGAGACCCCGACACCCACAGGCCCGCCCTGGGCTGCAGGATTGGGGCTGGCAGTGGAGGTATTAGTTGGGCTGGAGTGTGTCAGGGCGTCCCATCCTCTTCTCCTGCTGGCTTCCTTTCTCTCCCACGTCTCATGGTTCATTCATTTCCAAACAACTCACTGAGCCATATCCAGTTCAGTCTGCTCCCTCACAGAGCACTCGACGTGTGCAGATATACATCTGCCAGCCTTGCACACGGGCCCATGTACACGCTTGTGCGTGTCCACATTCAGAGCCTCCTGATTCTGTCTCGGTTGTGAACTGGCATACGTTTTGCAGCAGACTGCGACACCCACATATGCACACACACTCTCCCACATGGCTTCTCTAAACCAGTAAGTGCTCAGTGAGGGTGGAGAATTCGTGCGGGCTTCTTACCCCACAGATGCGCACGCTTGCATGGTCCTCCTCGGCTCTGCATCTTGTGAGACTGCCTTTCCCCAGAGCAGGTGCTTGGTCTTTGAGGCATGTTCCCTGAGACTCAGTTTCCCAAGTTATTTCCCTACCCCCATCTTGGGAGCTTCTGCTTTTTTTGAGATGGAGTCTCACTTTGTCACCCAGGCTGGAGTGCAATGGCATAATCTTGGCTCACTGCAACCTCTGCCTCCCAGGTTCAAGCAATTCTCCTGTCTCAGCAGCCCAAGTATCTGGGATTATAGGCAGGCACCATCACGCCTGGCCAATTATTGTATTTTAGTAGAGATGGGGTTTCACCATATTGGCCAGGCTGGTCTCAACGTCCTGACCTCAAGTGATCTGCCCGCCTTGGCCTCCCAAAGTGCTGAGATTACAGGCGTGAGCCATAGCACTTGGCCTAGATGGGGCTTTTGAGAGGGGGCTTCTGAAGCCCCAAGAACTTCATGGGCCTTGGACAGGGGCTGAGCAGAGAGGTTGGCCTGGCCACCCTGGATGGTTATGGGTGCCTGTCAGTCAAGGCCAGCTTTTCCACCCAGCCTGCCCCTGTGGGGCAGGGCCTGCCTGTCCCCCTGCCCTCCGCACTGCTCTCCTAGCATCCAGAAGCCCCTGCCTGAAGCCTGGTGAGAAGGCCATGGCTGAGGAGGGCTTGGCCCTGAGGCTGTGTGTGGACTGTCTCCCTCCTCTGCAGGGTTTCAGCAGCCTGAGGCTCCGGCCCATCCGCACGCTGAGCTCTGGCCTGGAGCAGCTGAGGGGCTGCAGGGTGGTCGGGGTCATCAAGAAGGTGAGTGAGTGAGCACTTGTCTTGCAGGAGGGAGACAGGGTATGCAATTTGGGGTGGTGGCGGGGAGAAGATGGGATGTGGTGAAAGCAGGTCTGTAGCAGTGGCCCCCACTCCTCCAGAGGGGGTGGACAGGGGTCAGAGGGGAGTGCAGCTGTGTCCAGCAGTTCCCACCTCTCCCCCATCCCCAACACACATGACTCAGTCCTGGGTCCTGGAGAGGAAAATGCGGGGAACGAGAAGAGGCCGGTTGGCCAGGCACAGTGGCTCACACCTGGAATCCCAGCACTTTGGGAGGCCAAGGAAAGAGGACTGCTTGAGCCCAGGAGTTGAGAGATCAGCCAGGGCAACAGAGTGAGACCCCATCTCAAATCAAATAATATAAAATATAAATTTAAAATATAATATAAAAAGAAGAGGCAGACAGGCCCTTTCCATAGCCCTGAAGCTCAGACCCAGAAAACCTGCTCCTTGGGAGAGTCGGGACAGAAACTGCAGGAGGAGCGAGGCGCTGTGCCCAGGCGCCCTGCCAGCCCTTGAGGCCCTGCTCACTCCCAATTCCCGATTCCCACAGCACCCCCACCATATTCACCCTGAACCCCAGGGCTGCAGCCAAGACGCTCCACGGAGCACAGCTGGGGACTTCCTGCAGCTGGGACATGCTCCTCTCCAGAAACCTGTCCAGAGAGGGCCTGCGCTGGCCCATCCTTGCCTAGGGCCTTGGCAAGTCTGCCCCTTTTTTCTCTCTTGACCTAACTCTAACTTCACCCTATCTCAACCCCATCTCGCACCCTTTGCCTTGTTCAGGGCAGACAAGGAGATAGGAGGCAAGGTCCCAACCCTACTCGGGGCCCTCGTTATTAGAGTGAAGGAATCAGAAGGACAGAGAATGAGGTCAAATGAGAGTCCAGCCGGTATGAGGCTCCCCTCTTCCCCCCGAACCTTGGAATAGTCACCCAAGAAGTTGTTTACCAAGCTGGTTAAAGGGAGAGCTTCCTAAAAATACAGCTACACAAGAATCTGTTATTTAACATACTCGCCAGGTGATTCTGGGGGATCTGGGGGCCCACAGAGAAAAGGAGACAGTCCTGTGATTCCCACCAGCAAGAGGCTGACATGCTGCCCGCAGGACAGCCCCATGCTGAGCACCAGCCAGGGTGGCCACAGGCAAGCCCCCTGTTCTCTGAGCTTTGGTTTCCTCTTCTGGAAAGTGAGATGAGAATTCTCCCCCTACGGGGTGATCTGGGAGGTCAAATAATTTTGGGGAAAGACCTGGCACATGCTATGACATTGAGTACATGCTGGATGGCTCTAAATACTAGTGACAGGAGTGAGCCGGGAGGCATGCAGGCTCCTGTTCCCAGGGCTTACTCTGGCAGCTCCTCCTGAATCCCTGTACTGCTGACCCCAGACGGTCAGCGCAGGCCCTGCCAGCTTCCATCTGCCACGATCCCCTCCCCACTGCTCCAGTGTCAGTGGTCACGACCCGACCTTGGCTCAGCACAGCCGCTCCCAGAGACCTTCAGGGAGGTGACCGACAGACACCAGGCCTCCCAGTAAGATCCTGCTGAACCGTATGTGTTATGGTGAGAGGGGTTCTGAGCTGAGTAAGGTAGGGAAACAGTGAGTTCAAGTTATGGTGCTTTGTTTTTTAATGATAGGAGTTCTTAGAGGTTTTAGATGCAAATGTACACTGTGATACAGAATTCACCAAACTTGTTTAGCCTCAGGAAAGTGGTTTAGGAATCTAGTGTTTCGAGGCCACTGCAGATGGAAAGCACAAATTAAGGCCAAGACCAACCATTCTTTTTTTTTTCCTCTTTTTTTTTTTTTTTTGACATAGGGTCTTGCTCTGTAGCTCAGGCTGGAGTGCAGTGGTGTGATCTCACTGCAGCCTCGACCCACCAGGCTCAAGCAATCCTTCCGCCTCAGCCTCCTGAGTAGCTGGAACCACAGGCTCAAGCCCTGTTCATTTCTTCTGTTTTTTCGTAGAGCGATCTCGTGGTGTTGCCCAGGCTGGTCTCAAACTCCTTGCCTCAGGTGTCCTCCCACCTCCGTCTTAGCCTCCCAAAGCACTTGGGATGACAGACGTGAACCACTGGCCCAGCCCATTCTGTTTTAGGACTGCCCTGCTTTTTTTTCTTTTTTACTCCATCTTGGATACTCAAAGACTTCACCTCCCTCCTGAGATTCTACTTCCTTTCCCTGTGTTGTGCCCACGCCAGGAGCAGCACTTTCCCCAAAGTAGGAAAGCTATTCCTTCCTCTGGGCCTGGGTTGGATATGCTGTCACCTTCATTCCATTCCACAGCTCTGCCCAGGCAGATCCGGGCAAGTGGGCAGTGCCAGCCAGCGGCAACCCTCAGGTTCAAGGAGGAAGCAAAGGGCTGGCTCAGGATGATGCTTGAGTGAACCCTAATGTGTCTGGCTGTTAGAGTAACTAGGGGCTGAGGAGGTGGTGGCATGGAGCAGTGAGGTGGGTGGGTCGGGACTTGGTAAGCAGCCAGAATACCCAAGGGCCTGCCCTCAGAGCCCGGGGCCAGGGAGACATCACTGGGTATTGGCTGAGCTTTGTCCAAGGAGCTAGATTCTGAGAAGGGGTGGAAGAAAAAGAAGGTCATCCAAGTCACTTCTTCTTTTATTTGGCTTAACACAGGGGTGTTTTTTTAATTGTTACCAACATTTTAAAATGTGCAGATTTTTATAAAAGTCCAGATTTCCTGCTTCTCTTGAAAAAATTAGATCTGGAAACGCTTGGGTTCCCATTCTCCCGTGGCAGCAGGGAGTGGGGGAGGAGATGCTTGCTTTAGATGGGGCACCAGCACCGCCCCCCCCCAGCTGCACCTCCGCCCTGCCCATTTGCTCACATGCCTGGCCCCTGTGGGCCTTTGAGTTTAAGAACCTGTTTGATTTTTGATTTTTTAATTATTTTTTCTTTGAGATGGAGTTTCACTCTTGTTGCCTAGGCTGGAGTGCAATGGCATGAACTTAGCTCACCACAACCTCCGCCTCCCAGGTTCAAGCGATTCTCCTGCCTCAGCCTCCTGAGTAACTGGGATTGCAATCATGCATCACCATGCCCAGCTAATTTTGTATTTTTAACAGAAATGAGTTTCTCCATATTGGTCAGGTTGGTCTCAAACTCCCAACCTCAGGTCATCCACCTGCCTTGACCTCCCAAAGTGCTGAGATTACAGGCGTGAGCTACCACACCCAGCCTCCTGTTTGAAACCTTTAGGCTTGTTTGTTCCATGGGAGATTCCTCCTGGGCTTCTGATACTTTGTGTATCTTTAAAGAAAATGTTTACCATTTCACCAAAGCTTTAATTGTCCCTCTGTCCCAAGAACTCTGTGGGTCTCTATTTAAAACGATTGCCCTTTTTTAAAAGGTGAGAGAAAACACTCAGAACTGCCTTCCATCTTCCCAAATGGAAGGCTCACCTGACAGCTGAATGGCACCTTCTCATTTCCTCCATCCCCCAAACCACTGAGTAAAAGGGATTTCTTATTTGTTTGAATGAATGGGAAAATGTTCCCCACTCTGCTGCTCTTTTGAAATATGAGAGAAAAAAAAATCCCCCTGATATCCTACCTAACTCCAAGATAATCACTGTTAATGTTTTAGTCTAATTCTTTTTGGATAATGAGGTTGGTGTTAATTTTTTTAACAGAAATATTTCAGTGGATAGATCAAGGTTTATTTCTGGCTTCCCCAGCCTTCCCTCCTTTGCTAGCTTTTTTTTTTTTTTTTTTTTTTTTTGACTCTGTCAATTAGACAGCCTTGCCCAGGATAAGGTGGCGGGGAATCCCACTTGGCAAGTGACGGTGGGGAATTATCCAGGATGTCAGGATTTGTGGGAAACTCTGTTTTCCTAAATGATTCCAGAGTTTTCTTCCTTGCTTTTTCAAACGTTGCACAAGTTTGGTCAGGGAGCCAAGCCCAGGCTGGACTTGGTCTCTGGCTGTTGGAGGAGAGACCTCTGGTGGTCAAAGAGGACACCTTGCTCCTGCTGCAAAAGGTCCTGGGAGCTCGTCTAGTCCACGGCAGGCTCAGGAGGGAAGGCCCTTGCCAAGGGTGCCTTGTTGTGCCCCTAGTTCTAGTAGAGTCTGCAGGGCTCTGAGATTGGTCTGCCTGGGCTCAAGTCCTGTGTCTCAGGGCAGGCCAATAGCCAAGGAGTCATACCACCATGGCCTGGCCTTGCTCCACACGCCCTCACCTGGGCCGAATCCTCTGCCTTTCCGCCCTCGATGTACCCATGTACTGCTGCAGTGTGCCCCTGCCCACCACACAGATGAGTCAAGGACCCAACTCCAAACATGGACCTGACCCTGCGATTGGCAGCCTCTGCCTCTAATAGAAACAAACACAAGTAGAGGACGGCCTCCCAAGAGGACTTTACAAGTTTTATTTTCAGTCAGGAGCACATACACAGGTTTTTCACATAAACTTGTGTCATGGGGGTTTGTGTAAATGAAGGGTGTGGAATGGGGAAGAGGCCTGAAGGCAGTGTGCCAAGCCTGTACAACATGGCTGCACATCAATTGTAAAACAGATCAGAGGCCAGGTGCAGTGGTCATGCCTGTAATCCCAGCACTTGAGGCCAAGGCAGGAGGATCACGATGAGAGATGGAGACCACCCTGGCCAACATGGTGAAACCCTGTCCCTACTAAAATAAAAATCAGCTGGGTAGGGTGGTGCATGCCTGTAGTCCCAGCTATGTGGGAGGCTGAGGCAGGGGAAATGCTTCAACCTGGGAGGTGGAGGTTGCAGTGAGCCGAGATAGTGCCGCTGCACTCTAGCCTGGCGACCGAGCAAGACTCCATCTCAAAAAAAAAAAAAAAAAAAAAAAAAGGGGGGGGGGTCAGAGAAAGTGACTAGCTTTGAGGTCCCTTCCAGCTGTGACACCTCAGACCCTGCAGCATGGTGGTGTTCTGCCCAAGGCCTTGGGCGAGAGGTTGACCTCCAGTGAGTCCAGGTGGAACAGGGCTTTCTCAGCCCTCCCCTCAGGGGGAATGGGGCCTGGGCCAGCATGGGCAGGGAGAGGCAGGGAATTATTCTCACATGCTCACCACACACACAGGCTGAGCCGAGGTGAGGGCTGCTCACAGCGCATGTGTCCAGCATCTACCACATCCTTGTGCTCTGCGGGGATCTGGGAATACAGAGCTCACAGTCCAGTGGGGAAACAGATTAGACAGGGTAAACAGGCTCTGAGGGTGAACCCAGAGAGCATGAGACACAGGTTAGGGACCCCAGCCCCTGTAATCTTGGAAAGGCTTCCTGGAGGAGGCAGCATCTGAGACCACAGGTCTAGCAAGGGTGGATGAGCAGTGATCGATGTCAGCTTTGGGAGTGCCACCAAAGCCTGCCCTCCCTGCCCTGCCACTGGAGTGAGACAGCTTCAGTGGAGGAACCTGGGTAGGGGGTGGTCAGGCTGGGGACATGAAGCCCCAGGAGCTAGCACACACCTAACCAGTGCCTCTTGTATTTCGGTAGGTGCAGCTGGTCCAGGACCCGGCAACCGGAGGGACCTTCGTGGTAAAGGCAAGTGCCTCCCAGCCTCTGCCACTCTTCATCCCCTTGGGTTGTTCTCAGGGCTCTTGGAGACTCCCATCCAGAACCTGCATCTGAAGCATGTGCTCCCTCCCGCCAAAAGCTGATTGTTCTGCCCAAGCATCCCCCAATTTCCAGAGGGACCTCCACAGTCTCATGTACACACACACACGTGTATGCATACTGCCGCCTCTTGGGCCAGAGGGTGGAGGACCCAGATTCTACAGGGGCAATGGGGGTAAGGCAGGTCAGGAACTGGGGAAGACAGTTGTTCCACTCCTCATTCAGGCACCCCTGAAACGAGGGCTAGGAGGTCCCCTAACAGCAGCAGTCTCTGGCCTGTCCCAAGCTGATCTGTCTTCCCTGCCCCTCCCAGAGCCTACCCAGGTGCCACATGGTGAGCCGGGAGCGGCTGACCATCATCCCACATGGAGTCCCCTACATGACAAAGCTGCTCAGGTACTTTGTGAGCGAGGACTCCATCTTCCTGCACCTGGAGCATGTGCAAGGTGAGCAGGCCGGGGGCCCCTGTCATCTCCCTGGCCTTTGGGGTATGTCATCAACCCTTAAAATGCTGAGCCCTGGTGGCATGGGGGCTCAGGCCTGCAATCCCAGCACTTTGGGAGGCTGAGGCAGGCAGGTCACCTGAGGTCAGGAGTTTGAGACCAGCCTGGCCAACATGGTGAAACGCCGTCTCTACTAAAAATACAAAAACCATTTGGGCGTGGTTGCACATGCCTATAATCTCAGCTACTTGGGAGGTTGAGGCAGGAGAATTGCTTGAACCCTGAAAGTGAAGGCTGCAGTGAGCTGACACCATGCCACTGCACTCTAGCCTGGGTGACAGAGCAAGACTCAGCACCCCCCCCCAAAAAAAAAAAAAAAAAAAAAAAAAAAAAACTGAGTCCTGGGGAGGGGTGCACAGACCAGGGAACTTGGCCTTTCTGGAGGCCAATCAGGCTGTTGTGGGCCTGTGGTGGTGCCAAGGGGGCAGGGGACATCCTGGGGAGGATGTCCACATCATAGGCAGGCGTGAGAATTGCAGCTGTCTCCTTTGTTGCCATTTCCTCCAGCGTTGGCTCTTCTTATTTTTCTGGGCTGTGCTGATCCCTTGGGAGTGGCCAGGTAGGGTGGTGGTGACTGAAGCTATGAGGACAGGAACTGGGCCATGTGGCAGATACTGCCGATTATATTGATGACCTTTAAACAGGTACACATCCTGGGGTCATGACGCAGTCATTATAAGCCTCCCTGGTCTTCTTTAAATCAGTCTCCCTAAAAACAAGTATTCACACTGGTGAGACCACCACCCAAACCAAGAATACGGACAGCGCTATCCATCTATCTGTGGTGTGTCAATTCATGAGGCTGGGCCTGCTTTGCGGTGGGCGAGGGTGCGGGGATCGAAAGGGCAGAGGTAATTCTAAGCTGAGGGGTGAGAGGGAGCACTGATGAGGGGCTGAACTAGGCCTGGACAGCCAGAGGCGGAAGCTCTGTGCCCAAGACAGAGGAGAGGTAGGAATGGGACCAGGGCCTGGCATCCACACTCTTTCTCCCTGTCCCCATGCTCACCGCTCCCTCTGCATGGCCCAGGAGGCACTCTCTGGTCCCACCTGCTCTCCCAGGCGCACCCCCGACATTCTGGGCTCAGATCTGACTCTACCCAGGAGAAGATGAAGGCTCAGCTCAACCCCCACCTCAACCTCCTAAGCCCAGCGAGGCTCCCCTCAGGCCATGCCCCTGGGCAGGTCAGAATCGCCCTGGAGCCTCCTAGGACTTCTTTGAGCCTTCCCCCAGCCGGGGAGGCCCCATCCACCAGACCCCAGAGGGAGACTGAAGGTGAACCCACAGACAGGACCAGCACTTCTGGTTCCCTGGACCTTCCAAAGGCCCCAAGTGACCACCTGTACCTTCAAGCAAGGCGGGCTGGCCAGAACTCAGACACTGGGACCTCTCAGGGACTCACTTGGGTTCCTGAGGGGGCCGGCCCAGTGCTGGGCAAGAATCAGAGTTGCCTGTCAGCGGATGGGGCTGGCCCAGGCTGTGGCAGTGCCACCTGGAGAGTGAGGGAGGAACAGGTGAAGCAGTGGGCTGCGGAGACACTGGTAGCACTGGAGGCGCTGCATGAGCAGGGGGTGCTGTGCCGGGACCTCCACCCCGAGAACCTGCTCCTGGACCAGGCAGGTAGGTGCCCTTCCCACCCTTCAGGGGGGCTGCCCCCAAGTCTCCAGGCAGAGGATGAGATCCCCAAAATCAAGGGGAGCTCCAAGATTGTCTGTTCCTTCCCGGCCCCACCCAGCATTTCAGTGGGCCTGTGCCCGAGTCTGTGGGCAAGGCTCCTGGGAGTACCCTGTATTCTGTGGGCCTCAGGGTGCTGTGCCCCTGTGGAGGTTCTGCCCAGCATGGCCCTTGGCTCCCACTGCATGACTGTTGGGGAAGCCCTGGAATCCTTCCCCTTGTCAGCTATCCTCAATCTTTGTCCCTCCTTTTTCCTGCTACACACACTGGAGAAGGTCACATCCGGCTCACATATTTTGGCCAGTGGTCAGAGGTGGAGCCCCAGTGCTGCGGGGAGGCCCTGGACAATCTCTACAGCGCCCCAGGCAAGAAGGGGGAGGCCGGGTGGCCCCTGGCACCTGGGTACTTTTGTGGGGGTTGTGCCTGGAGTCTGAGAATGACAGAGGGGATGAGTGGGGTCAGGGTAGGATGAGAATGGAAGAGGCCCTCTTGAGTGAGGCTGGGACCCTTGTGTTCTTGTTCCCACAGAGGTGGGTGGGATTTCAGAGCTAACGGAAGCCTGTGACTGGTGGAGCTTTGGGTCCATACTGTATGAGCTGCTGACAGGAATGGTGAGTGGCTGGGCTGGGTGTAGTGCCCTGGTGGGTGCCACTGAGTGTGAGTTGGGCCAGGCTGAGTGTGGGATGGGCAGAGGCTGACTGGCTGTCCTGCCCGCACAGCTGCCCCAGAAGCCAGGGACACACTTAGCTAGCTACAGCTAAGGAGACTGTCGACTTCTACGAAGGAGAGTCAAGTGGGATGGTCAGGGAAGGTTTCTGCCAGAGCGTGCCTGGGCCCAAGTTTGGAGGGAGCACAGTGTGTCACAGCCCTTCCTCCCAGGAGGGCTGCTGATCATCCTGAGCCTACCGTTCACTCCTCCCACCCATGCCCTCGGGGGCTGTCACCTCCAGACCTTAGCTGGAGGCTGGGAAAGAGGGGCTTTTTCACCCAGGCAAGCAGCTTCCCTGTCCAGCCTTGGTCAGTCATAAGCTCAGAAGATCCCCCTGCAAACACCAGGGGAACCTGTGCACAGGATGAGGGCTCTGCCTTCTGTCCTCCCCTCTCATGAGCTCAGCACTGCAACTGAGGCCAGTTATGTAGGCAGCAAGGGAGAGGCCAAATTGCATTTTAGCAGGAAATAGCCAGAATGGATGTAGTATGAACTGAAGTCCAGGCCTGACTAGCCCATCCTGGCTCCCTCCTGCTTTCATCCCATGTCACAGGGCCCCAAGAACCCTGGCTGCAAATACCCTCCGAGTGGCTCTCCTCCCATCTCTCTAGCCCAGAGTTCCTGGCCCTCCTCCTGGGGGTTCCTGGAAGCTCATACTTCCCTCCAGACAGACCCTCTGCTCCCTGAAGCTGTGGCTTTCTGGGGCGTGGAGAGGTCCTATTTTCTTTTCTTGCCACATCCCTGCATTGGCCCTGATGGTAGCATGCCACAGCCTGCTGCCAAATGAATAGTCCCTGTGGATTTTTAAATAAGACAAGTTCCATCACTGTTCCCAAGAGTGCCTGCCCTTACTGCAACCCAAGAGCGATGCTTCCAGCAAGCTTAGAGCCACGGGAGACCTAGGTCCAAACCCTGAACTCGGCACAAGTCCCTTTGCCTCTCTGGGCCTGTTTCTTGCCTTTAGCGGATAATGTAAAGGCACTGCTTAGCATCTAGCACTGTCTGGCCGTAGCAACTATCATCATTATTGTCATCATCCTCGTGGGATGTGACATGGGGAAAATCCTGCCTGCCACTGGAACACAGACAGGCCTGAGGTTGCCTCCTCAGAGGCCCTTCCCTGTGTCCTCTCAGGCACTGTCCCAGAGCCACCCTTCAGGAATCCAGGCCCACACCCAGCTCCAGCTGCCCGACTGGCTGAGTCGCCCAGCGGCCTCTCTGCTGACTGAGGTGAGGTGTAGCCCAGCCAGAGGAAGCAGCGGCCTGGCCTGAGGAAGGTGCTGGGAGGGGCGCAGAACTGTGTGTGTGAACCACATGTGCTTCATACTCAGTGTCTGATGTGGGTGCAGAGGGCAACAGGGTCAACACATTTCTGTATGTTGGTGGCCAACCACCACCACTGTCCTCAGGGTAAAAAGGGGGTTCCATGGGCTAGGGTGCCAGGGAGCAAGCCCCCTAAGGAGCCATAGTGGTCAAAGTCCCTGGAGGTCAGCCCATGCCTCTGCAGCGGGAGTGGGGAAAGCCAGCTGACTGGGCCTCTTTCTACAGCTGCTGCAGTTCGAGCCTACCCGGCGCCTGGGCGTGGGAGAAGGTGGTGTCAGCAAACTCAAGTCCCATCCCTTTTTCAGTACCATCCAGTGGAGCAAACTGGTGGGGTAAGAGGGCAAAGCGGGCAATGCAAGCAGCTGGCCTGGATCTCCTCTCTTCCTTGCCCGATATCTAGGGCTGGCCCTCTATCAACAGGCTTCGGGCGAGGAATGGAGGGCATTGCCTGTCCTGCTGGGCTCCTGCCAGGGCCTCAGAATTATGGTCATATGGCCATCTTCCAGTAAGGGCCAGCTCCTGGAAAAGTAGGGGGTAGGGGCAGTCAAGGCTCACCCTGCTAAGCAGCTTGAACCTTCCACCCGCCAGTCAACAGACCTGTTAAGCACGCAGACTCACCATGTTACAGGGTGCCTTCTGTGGCACTGGCGCTGAGCTGACCACCTGCTGCGCCTACTGTGAGGTTCTGTGACTCACTCACTGCCATGTTGTGCCCTACTTGGGACATCTCTGGAGACTCATCTCAGGACACTGATCCACTGGCTCAGTGGACCCTAACCAGGCTGTCCTGGCTGGTCATTTTAGTCACACAAGTGGGGCTTTTCCACTAGAAGCTGTTCCTGCAGCTGGGGAGGCCCAGAAGCAGGGATGCCATCTGTGGGGCAGGGAGGGATGAGGTGGGGGACAGGAGGATTCCCCCATTCCTGAACATGCCCCCTATCTTGTGATTTCAGACTTGGGAGAGCAAAAGGGAGGGGAAGAAAATAAGAGAAATGGGGGAAAGAAGGAATGCACGGCTCTGCTCCTTAGAGCAAGTCAGACATCAGAATCAAGAGCTCTCTTCCCCAGGGGGCCCACCTCTGTGTGGGGAGGGGGCAGTCTGCCCCAGGGGCACAAAAGGACAGCAATTCAGCCTCCAGGCCAAAGCAGCCGAAGGTGTGCCCATCAGGACTCCCTCTCAGGCCTTGGTTCTGTTACCATGTCACTGCCTACTAGGACTTCACACCCTTTGAGATAAGAAACCCCAAAACATATAACGACTATACATGGCTCTTAGCCAGAAATCTTGCTCTGGTCTCTGAAAAACTGGGGTGAGTGGTTACTCTAAGACAACTGCCCCCAGTTTGGGGTTTCATTTTGGGGTTCACCCCGTCACTGGGGTATGGGACCTTAGAAACTAGACTTTTGCTTCCAACTCCTCCCTGCCAGCATCCCAGTCACCACCAGGTGGCGCTTCAGACACGGTTCTCCCATCTGGCTCTGAAGGCCCAACTCTTGTCAGGCCAGACTCCTGTCTCGGCCTGACTTCCTCGGGCTCTGCAGGAGACCGCGACAGAGAGGACATGCAAAAGTGCAACCTGTATATGACTCTGTGCTCTACATCCTGGCTCTCACTGGGGCTTACCCAGCCCCAATAAAGCCTGCAATGGCCTCTGTGTTCTTGCTTCTTCAATGCAGTGAGTGAGCGTGGCCTTGGGGCAGGTTGGAAGGCTCTTGCCATAGAAGCTCCAGAGTGAAATCAAGGGTGAGGTTGGAGGCTGCCAGGAAGTAGGACGAAAGGCTGGTGGTGAGCAGCTTGCCACCTGTGCCCTGGGCCTCAGGGGAAATGGTGGGGCAGGGGGCAGGCTGGGCTCTGTGGGGAAGCAGAAAAGGATGAGAAGTCTTGGAAGAGGCTCAAGGTTCCTGGGGGGAATACCAGTTTCGTCCTCAGTGACCCCTTGCAACAGAAAACTGAAGCTCAAAGAGGTTAAGAACACAACCTACCCAGAGTTACAAGTTAGTGTTCCTTCTGCTACTCTCTGTAAGGCTGGACCACTTCCAACCACTGCTTCATAAAACACAAGTCACTTCTGGAACTTCTGTGCCTCATCCAACCACTACACATCTGACACTCTGCTGGGCCCTGAGTTTAGAATACTGTGGGTCCCAGCTCTTACAGTCGACCTCCTTTCAATAAAATGGGGCAAGTAATGCCTACTTTGCAGGTTTACCAGAGAAATGAAAGCTCCTAACACCAAGTCCTGTTCTTCCTTTCATTCAACCTAACTCTTTTATCTATTAGAGATCTAGTTCTGCCCTCTGGGACCTACTTCCTTCACATGACAGACCTTCACAGAGGAATGGCCTCACAGCAAGAGTGATCAGCAGACAGGAACTCTGGAAGGATAAGGCTGTGTTTAAGCCTGGATGCCATCACACCTGCCACCTGCAGTCTAGGTTAGCTACCAACTCTATACACTCACCCTCACTGACCAGTGCTTCTAGGTGGCCATCAACCCTCACCTGTTCATCTGTATTGACCTTGAGCATCTTGGTACATGAGGTAATCAAATCCAAATGAAATGAGGTACCCCCACCCCTCCCCAATCCATCACTGAAATAATGCAAGCCACCACAAAAAATCTAAGTCTACTGGTACTTTAAAAGGGCTTCACAAAGATGGTGATCCCAAATTCTAGAGTATGGCTTGACAGGCTCAAGGAAGCTGGGACATTAAGAGGCTATGATGCTTCTGGAAACTAAACAAATTCTAAGCCCCTCAACTATCTGCATGGACCCCTCCTTCTCAGTCACGGGCATTCCAAAGTTAACCTGAAAAGCTAGTTCAGGCCATGGTGGGAAGGAGGAGCCAGCCATGCCTCATTATACTGCCCTCCCTTCTGGAATTACTGTTAAAACAGACCCCTTAAGTCTGATGAGAAACATTTACAATCTATTTTCTCTGAAGCCTGCTGGCTGGAGGCTTCATCTGCATGATAAAACCTTGGTCTTCACAACCCCTTATTGTAACCCAGACACTCCTTTCTATTAATTCCAGATCTTTAATAACTTTTCAACCAATTGCCAATCAGAAAATCTTTGATTCTGCCTATGACAACACCCCTGGGCCTTGAGTTGTCTTGCCTCTCCAGACCAAAGCACTATACATCTTACATGTATTGACTGGTGTCTTGTGTTTCCCTAAAACGCATAAAACTAAGTTGTAGCCAAACCAACCACCTTGGGCACATGTTCTCAGGATCTCCTAAAAGTTGTGTCACAGGCCACTGGTCACTCACATTTGGCTCAGAATCTCTTCAAATATTTTACAGAGGTTGATTCTTGTCAACAATTTCCTGGCTGGCAGCCAGGGTTCTACCTTCTGTCAAATTAGGAAATAGTAAAAAAAAAAAAATTAGGAAATAGTGTTAACTTCCACAAGATAAGCAACAGGACCTTAAGTGGCTTATAATACTAATGCAACAGTGCTGCTGACCTGAACCTCCGTAGCTAAAAGGAGCACAGATGCAGGAACCCTGTTTGAGAACATCTGCCCTTTAATTTGCATTTAAAATCTGTTTCTTTAAATACTTCAGTTACAAGTTCTGAATAGTGAAGACAGAGTAGTAGATGCTGCAGGCACTCAGTATTGGCTCCCACCCCTTCCCCCCTCCCCCACCCCCAGGCCTCACTTCTTGGCTCAAGATATAAAAGGGCACTTTCTAATGGCCCCAATGTCAAAGGTCAGCAGCCTCAGGCCTGGATGCAGTTAGATACAAAGCCATGAATCCCATTAGCTTCCACAAGATACTTGCATTTAACCATACTCCAAGGAAATCCAATGACTGTGCCCAGATCCAAGGGTAGCACACCTTAGAAATGACCTCAACCATTTCACCACAATGTACTAACACCCTCAGGGTGGCTTCCTACCATAGTCCATTGTCCTCCAGATCTGTGTCCTGCAGAGGAAGAGACAAGTCCCCGCTATAACGCAGGAAGGAACAACAACTGCCTCCTCAGCTCACGGGCTTACACCAACTTAATTGAAAAGCTCAAGTCAATTTGAGGCAGTCTAAAGGAGACCTCCCTTCCCTAGTCTCTACCAGGCTCTGGCCCTTCCTCGGGACCATGATTGGTCCCACTGCCATGATGTGGTAGAATCTGCTCTAAATAAGAACAAGGTGCTGGAATGAGGCCCAGCAACCAGGAAAGGGTTTAGAAAGGGTTGCCACAACCCCAGCTGTGAGAGACTGTGCCAAGACAGATCTTGGTGTGAGCCTATGATGGAGAGCGTGAGGGCAGGTCTGGGATCTCCTTGCATGAGGATTACATGTGACCTCAGGGGACCTCTGCCCTCTTCTCCCACTCACCCACCGAGATCCCCTGGCCTGTGCTTCCTGGAAGAGGTAGAAGAGGCATCTTGAAGTCAATGACAACAGAGAATGAAGGTGCCATTTAAGAAACAAAGCAGCACCTCTGCCTGTGTTCAATCTCTCCACACAGGTGGAATCAAGTGAGAATGTGCACAGCCAGGACAGAGGCTGCTCTGAGCTTGAGAGGCACAGCATCCTCCTAGTCGTCTCTGTAGAACAGACTTTCTGAAGACAGAAACTTAATCATGTGGTCCCCAGGGGTTTCTCTGTAGTATACTGGCACTAGGGAGAAGGAAAATCATCTTTGCAGAGGGCTGATGGAAGAAAGGCAGGAATATTAATGAGCATCCATTAAGGCTCTCTCTCTCTCAAGCCTAAGGAATTAAGATAGTCAAGGGTGTGAGACAGGTGCAGAGAGGGAGAGAGCCTGGCAGGAACGCCAAGACAAGACCTGTGACTGCTGGTTACATAGTGCTCTGCTTCCTTGCTTGAGGCCAACAGCATGTGCCTGCCTGTCACCAGGCTAACCTGGGACCCATGAGGGGGCAGGGGTAAGACTGGTTTTCAGTTCCTGCATGATTTGTTGGGTGTGTGGCTTCCTCCTAAAGATCCAGGAGGAGGACTCTGGGATCCTCTACAGCCGCCTTGATTTTGCGGAGGAAAGTCACAGCCTCTCTGCCGTCAATCAGCCGGTGATCATAGGTCAGTGCCACGTACATCATGGGCCGCACCTCCACCTACAGAGAGGAAGGGTAAATAGGTTTGTCTCCAGCAAGCCACAGACAGCCTTGCTGAAGGAGGAGATTCAGCATGGCCCATAAGAAAGTTCCCAATTCCAGAACCTTTCCTACTGATGTTGCCTCTGCATATTTACAGTATTTTCAAAGACCAAGCCTTATCCTCAGTGCAAAGCCTCCCCACTCAGAAACAAAGTTTACCAAGAAAACTGTCTTCTCACAACTGCCTTTTATATTTTGGTTTCACACAGGAGTTAGTGACCCAAAAGGATTCTAAACACAAGAATTCCCAGAAAGGTTTTTGATACCAACAAAACTTCCAGGGGCCAGCTCAAGCCCCTTTTAATACTTCATTCTCTGAACTCCCTGGAAACTTCCAAGCTTTATCATACAACTTGGCAGCTCGCAGACTGACATGCCTAATTGTCATCTGTTTCCCAGGGACAAGGAACCATCTCCACCTATATCCCCCAATCCACAGAAGCAAACAAGCCTTCTCAGCTCAGTGGTTCTCCCACCTGAATGTGCATCAGGATCATCTGCACTTCTTTAAGTCTGGGATGGGGTCTAAGAATATGCATCTCTAACAAGGTCCCAGATGATGCTGATCCAGATTACAATTTGATAATCAGTGCCTCAGCTATTAATTAGAAACTAAGAAATGGAACTTAGACCTGAAATTATAGTGAACGTTTTATAATTAGCACTTAGTTGAATTTCCCTGTCAAGAGCTAGCCACTAGGACCTTAGGACCTTAGAAGTGATGGTTCCTACCTTGCCTCCTATAGCCACAGGCCTGTCAAAGATGGCATGCATGCCCAGGATGGCAGACTGAGGGGGGTTGATTATGGGCGTTCCAAAGAGGGAGCCAAAAACTCCTCCATTGCTAATGGTGAAGGTACCACCATCCATATCTTCAATGGCAAGTTCATTCTTTCGGGCCTAAAAACAGATTTCATAATTGTCATATTAAGCCAACCCAGCTTCCTTCACACAAAATCAGTCCCTAATCCCAGCACTTTGGGAAGCTGAGGCAGGAGGACTGCTTGAAGCCAGGAGTTCAGGGCCAACCTGGGCAACACAACAAGACCCCATCTCTACAAAACACTTAAGAATTAGCCAGGCATGGTGGTGCACACCTGTAGTCCCAGCTACTCGGGAGGCTGAGGCAGGAGAATCGCTTGAGCCCAGGAGTACAAGGCTGCAGTAAGCTATGACTGCACCACTCCATTCCAGTCTGGGCAACACAGCAAGACCCTGTCTCTCAAAACAAGCAAAGGAAGTCCAGAAAGCTTGTATCTTAGATCAGTGGCACAAGTGCTGGCTTCCGTGTGACAGTTGTTTGGCTGAGGTGACCATGACCAGTGCTCCACCAAAAGGCACAATTTCATTCAGCTGAAGACTTCAAAGATCTTTTCCAGCAGGTCTCATTGATGAGATTTCAGTTACCAGAGCCTGGTAAACTCCACCAGATATATAAAATACTTAGCTCTCAGGGGCCACTGTCTTTCCTGGGGCCTATGCACTTTACATTCCATGAGCGCTGCTTGCTGGTGAGCCCGGCCTTCAGAAGGC